CAACAGATCAGACAGGCGGATTATTACGGTAAATCAATTCTTATATCTACCAGTTCAACTCTAATTTTTAATAGTTCTACGTAATTATGCAGAAAGTATAGTTATAAATATAACATCTAGACTCGAGGGATGTAAGATTACAAGAAAAATGTATTTTCTTATTCTTCTTCTCTAATTTTAACTACCCATACTTAACAATTGACATAAAGGCCTTGATTGATTGATTCTTGGTTTAATTACATGAGTGTATGTATTAAAAACCAAGTAATTTCAATATGTGTGATTTCATAGCATACCGGAGACCTAATTTTAGTCCCTTTCCCGTTCCTCCCTTTTCTTAAGAGGAAAGGATGGGAAGGAAAAGTGGATTTGACAGCGGAGGATACGCATAGGAAGTGTAAATGTCCTCTTTATGTGCGTTACCCCTTCCGTCAATTAAGGGTAGGCAACGCATCTGCAATTGCGGATGTTAACGGGCAGCGGTCGCTTTTCATTTCGGTTGATTTAGGTGGCCGCTTGCTCGTTTGCCACCTTATATTATAAAAAAATACATAGAATACAAAAATAATTGATTGACATAAGCTAAAACGTTGAGATCCATTCCGTTTAAAAAAATAAAAAAAAAACTTTTATAATAAGGTGTAAGATATCATTTTCTGTAAGGCGGCAAACAATACTAATTAATGAAGATGTTAATTAAACCTTCGCCGATGAGTTTTTAAAATAAGCGAAATTAAATTCTTAATTAAGGTCTATTCGTTTGATCTTCGGAATAATTTGATATAATATTTTCTTTCATCCATCAAGATACATTGAAAATTTTAAGGTTTTTATCATTAAATTATCTCTTGAAATACGTATTAATGATATTATGAAATGTTTAAAATCATCATCCCAAAGCCAAAAGCATATTTTAACAAACAAACACATAAATTGCGTAAGATTGTACAATATTTTGTTGAGATTTTTAATTCATAATTTCATATCAGCGTATATTTTCATCATGTTCTTTATTATGCTCATTATATTAAACAAAGCAATCGACACCTAATTGAACACTTTAATGCTTGTTAAATATATTTGTAAATACATCCTGTTAAACAAACTGTATGTCTAGAATTTAATTAACATATTGTTATGAAATTAAATTATGTAGATAATAAATAGCTTTGAAATTTAAATTGTTAAAAATGAATATGTAGGCGCTATATTAATTAAATTACTCTTGTAAGGGTCATTGAGTAAATTTAAAAGCTAAATAAATAAATAAATAATAATAATAATATAAACCAGCTTTCACCCGCGACTCCGTCTTCGTGGATTAAAAAAACAAAAGCAAGGAACCCATGTATTTTTCTAGACTATGCTCTACAACTATTTCAAATTTCATTAAGATTTGTTCTGCTGTTTAAGAGATAGCTTCTAAAAACATCCTTGCATTCATCTAAACTTTCGCACTCATAACATTAAAGTAAGAAATAAGATTAATATTTTGTAACTTAAAAAATCGAATTTTGTATTCAAATTTTTTAATGTAAAAATGACCGGAAAATGCAAAAACAAGCAAGTCGTAAGCATCGCCGGCGTTAATATTATCCTAAACTCGGATCATTAACTTCGCTTTTAAGTGAAGTCTTGACAATTTCTTGTCGCTTTTCGAGCTGGTGTACAATTTATTTTAAACCAGATAAAATGGATTTTCATTTGGTCGCATTCAGATTCAAAATTCGAAATTTTATTTTTACTTAGAAGTACAAAATGTATCCATTGTTAATATATATGGTTTATTAAGGATTCATAATTTGTATGCTTAAAAATAATTACGAATTGATAACCTCCTTCTTATGTGTAAGAGTTTTTTTTTTTACTTTACTAATGAAAAAAATATCAATTCAATCAATTGTAAAAATGTAAAACTTAATTCATCTATTTAATACCAGTACCATTTTTAATATTTTTAATTTGTTAAAAAAACCTTCACAAAATAACCCTACGTTTAACAAAGAAACGTCGCTAATTAGATAAACATTTCCTTAGCGCCAATCCATTATAAAACGAAGGAACATTTGCTTCAAGTGAAAGGCAAACTCAGTCATTCGATGTCAACCACTACCCTCATTCGGATATTTCACCCTAATGTTGGTTCTTAAACAACACTGGCTAATATTGGCTTAGGACTAATGATTCATTTGCCTCGCCTTTTATTACTAACTCCTTTGAAATGTCACATTTATTTCTAAAACATTTTATTAATTAACAATTACTTAAACCGTGCTAATATTTTAATGACTCGAGAAACTTACTACATTAATATAAATAATTACTAACCTGAAATATGGAGTTCATCTTATGATATTAGAAAATTATAATATAGCTTTCGCACGCGACTCCGTCCGTGTTAAATAAAAAACCAAAAACAAAAGAGAGTAGTTTATGTGTTCTTCCAGATTATACTCTACATCTGCACCAAATTTCATGGAAACAAACATCCATCCATCTAAACTTTTGCATTTATAATACTAGTATGATCAGTAAATATTTTGCTTGTAAGTTATTGTATTTTATAACACTATATTATGATCAAATTAGTTCTTTATAAAATATTGATAACCTTTCCAATCTTTATGAATAACCTCTATTTTATAGTCTCGTATCATATTTTAGTAGATTCCAAGTTGCTTTGCTTGACTCTACTCAAAAACTACGCGGAATTTCGATTATGTCATTTAAAAAATATTTCTTTTAGATTCAAGATTTATCGTATGCTGGCAAAGTATTTATTCATACCTTTTTGTTAGACAAAATATTACTGAAAATTTTCAAAGCCTCCCAAAAATGACCTTATGGAATTTCACTTTTTAAAACTCCATAAATTTAGGCAAAGTTGGTTTTGATAACGCTTAAAGCTGATGCTTTCATCGTAAAATTTACGTGATAAGGCGCCGTACTTAAAATCCGTTTTATATTATAATTAAGATAAAATATAAGAGTTTTCAACATAGACTTGTTTTCGATATTTACATGTTAGGTATCTTATAACTAGAAATTTTACAGAAACTTACGTTTCTTTAGAAAATGTAAATGTACTTTATTCTTAACTCTATTTTTGGTTAGTGTTAGAAAATCTATAAAACTTTCATCTCTATATTTAAAATTTAATCTCTTATCGATAATTTAAGATAACAAACCATTTTAACGTCTTTACCATAGTAAAAATCTAATATTAACAAGACCAAAAAATATCGTTATTCTATGTAATTTTATACCTTAATCTTTCTTGGTACGAAATAAAAGTAGCCGAGATAAGTTTACCGAAGCGGAGGAAAAGTGTTGAACAAACAAGCGATAATTCTGTTGCTCACTGAGGCAAGCGACAGTTTTTAAAAAGATTGACTAAAAATTATAAAAGTATTAGTTGTTTTTCACTTAATTGTAAATAAATCTGTATAAAATAGTATTTGTTTTTAATACACATAAAAAATTAAGTGCTCAAATGATTTTTGAATATTTAACCGCAATTACTGATAATCTTTTGGTCACATTCATTATCAAATTAAAAAAAAATCTACTGATAACATGAACAACGAGAGCGTCGGTGGCTCAATGGCTTAAGCACTTGACTTGAAATCTATAGGTCTTGGCTTCGAATTCCGCCATGTACCAATGTGATTTTCGATTTTTAGAATTTTCATATGCACATAATTTACCCGACGTTCTTACGGTGCAACCTGCACATATCAGCGAAGAAATGTAAAGATATGTGTGAAGTCAACCAACCCGCACTGAGCTAGCGTGGTTGACTATGGCCTAGTCACCCTAACTTAGTTTAGGCTGCCAGCCCCTCAGTGGGAACTTAGTGAGCTGGTTATGATGATAATATTAAACGGATCGTCAGTTGCTAAAAATGCATTTATAAAGCTTTTGTGTTTGTCATTTAAGCATTTGGGTACATTAAAATACTTAAAAAAGGTTATTAAACCGTTGCGGGGCGTACTTAAAGCACTGTTAGCACAACAGCAATATTCTCGCTGAAGATAGCCTAATATGAGGGTTTAATAACCATACTTTCCGTTATAAGTGTTCATTAAAACGAAAATAGCGGTACGTGTTATTGTACGAGTTCCAATTCTGAACTATCAAATTAGGTAGTTACCGCGCGTGAGGAAACTCTACTACGACTAACAAAGCAACGATGGATCAATTAAATTTCATGTACGTCTAGAGTCAGATATTGGTTGAGGTTACGTAATACTAAAGTTCCAGATTAAGTATGAAATACTCTCATGTTATCTTACACCAGCATTTCGAATTCACTTCGCACTAGTGCCTTAACTTTAACCATTTTTCTGTAGTCCCTAACGCCTATTACGCATTATTTCTTAGAGTAATTTCTTAGTTAATTCTTGTATATTAAGAAATTAGTTATTTAAATTTCTTTCAAAGATCACTCGATCTATTAGTAGAACCTTTATAAAAACATATTTTGTGTTTCCCAACTTTATAGCTTTCAAACAGACAAATTCTATGAAATGTACATTTTAAAAAGGTACAAAGTAATAGTAGTTATATAGCATAGAAGGGAATAGTGTAAGGTTTAAAGTAAATAGCGAATTTTTGACATTTATTACACAAATCATATGACAATCAAAACAAAACAAACATCAAAATAAATGTTTCACGTTAAAACACAAAGTTTTGTTATCAAGAATTTTTCGAATTACATTTCCAAGCAAAAACCAATTTCGCTCAACCGCCCACATTATAAAGTTCGAAACGTACAAAACGTCAAAAGAGTAAGAACATTTAAATGTCGCACGGAGTGGAAAAGAAAACGCTTTATTTGCAACTTTCCACTTAACGTTTCCACCTTAACAAACTCGATCTCATTTTATCAATTGTCAAAGTTTAAAAACTTAATCCACTAAGGACCCTTTTGGCGAGTCGATAGTGCGCATGTCGCAACCCTAGCGGGAAACCCAAGGACATTCGGCGGACAGCTTTCGAGCGTACAACACGCCTCGCTTGTGCGCTCCTCACATTTTCGGATTACGTACGAACGTAAACGGTTACTTGTAAACAATTGACGCTACTCAAAATAATACTAAATTAAGTAAATAGTGTTACATTTTTTAAATAAAAAATAATTCGTATATAACTATAGTTTAATAATAATTGTGTATGAATATAATTAAAATTAATAGTGAGGTTTTTTCGTGATGAAAGAAGTATTTCTTTATAAATGGATGGAGGTGCAAGTGAAATAAAAATATAATATTATGTAATAGAGAAGGATTAAAAAAATCACAATGAAGCTTTTTTATCTAATTGCTTTGTGTGGTAAGTAAAAAAAATAATAGTTTTAGAAAATCTACGACGTTCTAGTACTTAGCAATAAATCAAGAACATCTTTATGTTATAATATCAACAATTGAAAACCTTATGCGATAACCGTGAAAATTATAGAGAAATATTCAATATTATATTTATAAATTATTATAAGAATTTCGGTTAAATTGTCGAATACCGAATATTGGAAAGGTAGCATTTTTCATTATAGACTTTTTACGTTGAAATCATACAATTGTGAGCATTTTAGGGTTCATCTTCAGGGGATTATATCCATCAGATACGGTGATCCATTTTCATTTGTGCGATACATTCTTAAAAATGATAACGATTACACTAACTATAGAACTAAAAAATGCTAACATTTATTTTATTTAAAAAGAGGAAAAAAAAATCTTCTGAAAAAAATAATAACGTTCTATGAAATTTGATTACTCGATATATCGTTTCTGTTGTCGTTATCAAATCCGGCGACTTTCACTTTATCGTGTAAAATAGCGCACATTTTAATATTTTCATAAAACAATTCGTATTACTAAGTACAGAATTAGTTGAAACAAATGAAGAGAAATAAAAACATACGAATAAGGACAGATAACCTCAAAAGCACAACTACGGACAGCTACAAACAGCTACGATTTAGTTTACAACAGATTTATTTAAAGATATCAGCGTTTGTGGTTGCAACACAAATGCACGTTGTATTTGTGCATCGTATCTACAGACGTTTGTAGTCTTTACGGGATAGCCAATTTAAAATAGAATTGTAGAATTTTAGACCAAAAAAATGTAAATCTCAGTAAAAACATCAAGGATTTTAGTTAAAATTATTAATTAAGAAAATGCAACAGTTTTCATAAATTAGAATTAACTATTTAAAATTATAACTACTATTTAACGGGCGACCTAATGTAGTTAAATACTAATGTACTAAAATCTATATACCTATAATAAAATTAGAGTGGCTGTTTGTATCAAAAAAATTCTATTTTTCTGGAAGATGATGTACTTGCGTTTTTGTTAACAAAAATCTCATTAAAAAAATTGTCTGTCTGTCTGTCCGCAAGCCGCATTTATTCCAGGTAATCTCTGAAACGGCTAGGCCGATTTTAACCGGACCTTCAATGAAGGGTAGCTGACATAGACGGGCATATTATAGATTACTTTTTAAATTCCGAGCTGTCAAAATGGCGTAATGGTGGTCCAAATTTGCGCTAACGAAGTTTGTGGGCGACATTTCGTTATTTAATGATAGCTTAAATAACTAAATAGATTCTCGTGCGACTTCATCCGCATAAAATTATGAAAATTTAATTTTATTGTTTACATTTGTCAAATTATTAATTGCAAATGTCAAAATGACAATGACAAAACCATGGCGACCTTTCTTCCTTGATGTTGGCAGCAACTTATGGCATCTTTCCCACATTAGGGTTTTTTCCAAAATATTTACCCCCCC